CCCCAAAACCCCAAAACCCCAAAACCCCAAAACCCCAAGTTCATATAAAACTTTTGAGTTATTAATTAATATTATTATCAAACTCTAAATGGACGAAGACTCTAACAGCAATAGCTTTCTTGAACCCCTGCAAAAGGTAAGAAGGTCATTTTGTAATAAGATTTCTGTACTAAATAGCTGGCTATCATAGAATGACATTACACAGGAATATTACTGGCCCTTGCTTGACCAGATTGTCAAAAACAGTGTCGACATTTCTTCATTAAATACCTCGTTTGATTTGGAGAAAAATCAAAGAGTGTTTCTTAACCAAATGCGAGTTTGGAGAGCATGAGGCTTAATAACACTCTTTTAAGATTATATACAACATTTCAATGCCATTCAAGCTAGAGTATCTTAAAGGTCTCTAATTTCATTATAATTCAACCATTTTCATACTATTGCTAACAAGGGTTAGAAATTATGAAATTTTTGCTTATCATTTCAACTTATTGGTTCACCAAATACTTCTTATATGCACTTTGAGCTATATTCTGCAATTAAAAACAGTGACTTATAAATACTAACTAGTCCAAATAAGCTATAATAGTCTACAACTTTCAATAGGAATCGATGACGAAGAGAAATAGCGCTAATGCGAGATGATACCAGAATAAACCTCAACCTAAACAGAGTAAGATATAGCAACCACTCCTGCAGTTAGAGTAGTAGGTGCGGAAGATTTTACCTCCAACGTTGTCATGACGCCTATAGAAGTCAGCAAGTTTGAAGAGGGTAATTAATTCACCTAAATTTTAGACAAAGATCCGTCAATGAACTTCGAAAGAGACCTTGAACCAAATAATGTTGGCAAAGGAGCCAGAACTAAGGACAATACCTGAAATAGAAGAGGAATCAGACGGGGAAGAAAACAATCTAGGTCCCTACTTGGTATCAAGAATAGCAAGCCAGCAGATCTTTGAAAGCCTGAAGATGGCAGTGCAAAGGCTCGGATAAAGGAGAGTCTCCTTAAAGTGCCCCTCAAGTCTTCCAGCTCTGCTAATATCGGAAACTGAATGGGTAGGAAAGACATTGAAGCACAGACTTTTGAAGTTCAAAGGAGGTACAATATTCTCAAATGCGTTGGAGAAGGAAAGCAAGGAGCGGTCTACCTTTCCTTAGACACCGAGACTAAAAAGAAAGTCGCTATTAAAATAGTCAACAAGGATCCTGAAGAACAGGAAAGGTTCAAACAGGAAGTGAAAATACTGAAATTAATCCAAAATTTCCCACCTGAAAAATGTTTTCCCGAGATCTATGGAATTGAAGTCCGTAAAACATCTTATTTAGTTTCCGAGCTATTAGGAGATAGTTTAATGGATATCCAAGAGAAATTCCATTGAACTGGAGGCTTTACATTAAAAGTAGTAATAATGATTGGAATTCAACTTCTTGATAGAATAAGAACTCTCCACTCTGTTGGGTATGTCCATGGAGATATAAAGCCATCAAACATTATGTTTGGTAAAGGAGATAAAAAGAATATCTTATACCTTATTGATTATGGACTCTGAAAGTTAGAATGAAAATATATCAAAGAAAATCTCCCTAGTTCGATTTTCAATAAACAATACTTATGGCTGCATGGCACTCCTTTATTTGCTAGTATAAATGCACATCTAGGATGGTCGAAAATGTTCAAAAAGGATGATCTTGAAAGCTTTATCTACATGCTAATCAATATAAGAAGCCCTGTCTTACCATGGTTTAAGATCCCTATCATTGATGACAACTACAACAATATTCTCCAAGCAAAGATGAAAATTACCCCTGATGTGTTATGAAAATAACGTGCCAGAAGCGTTCAAAAAGATCTATGTCTACATTCGGAAGCTAAAGCACTACGACCCTATAGATTACGATCTCATTAAGCGTTACTTACTTGAAGCAGCTTCAGCACACAACCTGAATATCCCTGAAGATATGTCAAAGTTCAAATTTTATTGGCTGCTTGAGAGCAAGCGTAACACAGATGAGCTCTACTACTCTAAGCGTAAAAAGCACCTCCATTCCTGTGTTTCGTACTACAATAAGTCCAATAGTGATGAAATGGGCATGAATAAGTCAATAAGATCCCCGAAAAAGGAACTAAAGCCTGAGATTAAGAAGAAAGAGGAAATTAAACAAGAATCTAAACTACAAAGGATTAATGAAGGTCAGAAGACCATTAAGAATCGTAAACGCAAGTTTAATAGAGGTACTAAGAAGAGAATGAATCTTGCTGCGGCTAGAGGCTACCAGAGTACAGTTAACAGCTTCTCATAGCATCCAAGGTTAAAGGCATAGGATCTCCTGGGCTTAACCGGCTTAATAAAATCCAAGCTAGAGATTTTAACCAGAGAATGATGAAAATGCTCCATGTTAATGCAAGCAAAATTGGTCAATCAAATAACTCGGTTATCTCAAGTCCTTCCAAGAATAAAGATGGTGACTCAAAATTCAACTTCAATAAAAGATATGATGACAGCAGCCATGGAAGAGTTGAAGAGAAAAAGCAAGTTCTAGCTAGTCAGAAAAGAGTTGACCAGGTTAAGAATGCCATTAAAGAAGAAGATAGTGGTGTGGAAAAGATTTCTTCCCTCTCTTACATCGATCTACAACCTGATTTTCTTCTTGAACTCGATGAAGGGATGGTAAAACAGACTCCTTCTGTCCTAAATGCCAAGCCGATGCATCTCAAAGAAATATTAACCTATCGAGATTTACCTGTGGAAGAGCTTAAGGTTAACAAATTGTCTTAAATTCTAAACTTACATGTATTAATTGTACTAATCTCTATTTATTAAATTTTACCATTTTGGTATTGGATAAGTAAAAACTAGAAGTTTTGAACAGAGCTAATCAATCTTTAATTTCCTATTACTTTGTCTATAGCTTATTTCCGAGTCTACTTCCTCTAGAGGTTACTCTAAAAAGAAAGTGGTTAGCCATGCAAACTTTATCGTTATTCCTCTAAAAATTTTCAGCCTAGATGGAAGGAAAATGTGCAGCTCAAAGTTCGTAGCTGGAGAAGGAACTGTATTATGAGTCTTAGACTTGAATACAACCATCCTGAAACCATAGAGATTGCAAACTATTGGGAGTTTCAAGGATAATATATTTTAATGGGGTTTTGGGGTTTTGGGGTTTTGGGGTTTTGGGGTTTTGGGGTTTTGGGGTTTTGGGGTTTTGGGG